CGCCTGAATGTCCGAGCTTACAGAAGTTCAGCTCTCATGACTGCGTTTCCATACCTTGCTGAGGAAAACTCGCAGACACACCGAAAACACACATGGTCGATCGCATGCCCTACACCCCAAACCCGAAAATCCAAAACCCTGAAAGCCAAGCCCGTAATAACACTACAACTTAGTGTTAGAGTCCAGCGCTCATTGGCTCCTACAGCACAGTAGAAGAATGGGAAGTTCTACGTCTTCCTTACATCATGCCATCACACCCGAACTCACCGGATGACAAGACAAGGGACTCCAAGCTTGCAAGGGCGAAGGCATTGCACTCAGAAGCTGCACAGCACTGTAGTGCTCAACAAACAGGCCTTGTGCATCAGGTCTTCTATGGCTCGCGGTCGCCAAAGTTTCCATTGCGGACACATGGACGCACCCTGAAACCTCACCTCACGTGGTTCCGCGGAAGCGTCGACTGGCATAGGACTGGAATTGCTTCATGGCCGCACTGGGTGTGCCTGACCAGGGTTCTGGCGGTGTCATCCGGTCGACGAGAACAACTGAAGGGCGACTACAGTAGCGAGTTGCTTTTGGCAGACCAGGGACGGAAATCCTGAGATCCTTTCGGTTTGGCAGCGGTTGCAGGCAAAGAGCACCACGTTTCAAGCCCCCGCCTGCGCAGGCTAAGCAGGAGATGGCGCAGCCTTCGCCTCGGCAGAATGCTTTAAGCTATGGTTGCTGTCATCATGCACCACTTCCGTTTTTGCTGTTATTGCGACTGCTCCTTCTCTTGTCATGACTAGGATACCCATGCAGCTCATCACCTACAGGGCAGAATGTGCTTCGTGAAGTTGGAGCTGCCAGTGGCATTAGCATTGCAGCTGTGATTGGCGGTATCTCTCAGCTCCCGGGCTTCTGCATTTAAGCATCATCGCCATCAATCGACCCAAGCGTGTGGGTTTTCGGGCAGGGGTCAAACGAATTCCATAAAGCCCATAAGCCTGCTAACCTCAGGTTTGTAAAGAACCCTACGAAAGCTCCAAGCCCTACAAAGCCTGTCAGACTGTCAGAGAGCCCTAGAGGCAGCGTCAAGGCGCCAGGGATGGTGCTGCTGAAGTTGTCGATGGCGATGGGGGTCTTGATGCGGGGATCCTGGTCAAGCTCCTCGGGCGGTATAGGCTTGCGGGGTGGGTTTCGCCATTCGTAACTCGCAAAATGCAGGCAAGGAGTCACGAAAATCTTGAGGCAGACACGAGAGTACAGCAACGAGTGCTCGGTGGTCAATGTTTTTGTTGCCTCCTACTTCGCAAGGAAAAGCCCGGATTGCAAGGTTGACATGTCGGCGAACTGCAAGATCACAACCCTTTCGGCAAGGAGGCTCCCAAAGAAAAAGGTGCCAGAAGCAGCGTGGTTTAGGGTTTAAGGGGTTTGGGCAGATGGTCTTGGGTCTTCGGCTGGAGTACCGAATTCTATCCAATATCGAAAGCCCAGCCTGCATTCTTGATCCTTCAACCACACAGAAGATCAGGCCAACAAAAACGAAAGCCGAGCTTCGGCAAGGACGTGGCCATAAAATCCGAGGACTTGTCTCCAGACTGTCAGCGTGTTGCATATATTTGGCAATCCACCTCCGTGGGATGGGCAGCATGGCACTGAGCTACGAAGCCGCCTGCGCAACGAAAATTACAAAGCCGGTCCAACAATATATACTTCATCATCTTGGCCACCGACATCTCCGAGAAACACTGTATTTTCGCGGCGCACTCTGTGGCCCGCCTGGATCTACTTTAGACGATCTTCAGATGTCCGAGATCAGTTTCTGCAATATTCGGTACGTTTCGGGCTCGCGCGGCTCAAGCTTGGCGACAGCCATAAACCCTTTTTGAGTCACGGGCTGGGGCCGGACGTCCGAAGCAATAAACCCTAAACCCTGAAACCCCAGACTCCCTAAACTGACTCTGCACCCTTTTCAGCGGACGAAGGTACCGGCCGCGCCCCGCCCCTGAACCCTCAACACTAAAACCCTCCGCAGCCCACTAAACCCCAAACCCTAAACCTTAAAACCCTAGAACCCTAAAACCAAAACCTTGAACCCCAAATCCACTTCCATTTCGACCCTCTGTTCGATCAGGCCCAGCTGAGCCCAGGACCCAGAGGCGGCTCGTTCCTTCGAGCGCTGAGACGACCGGTTTGTACGGGGCTGTCATAGATGTACGAAGGGTTCATTAGGGGGTTTAGGGTTTAGGGTTTACACTCTCACAACTCGGACAAGCCAGGCGAGGATCCATGTTCGACAGAGGGTTTAGGGTTTAGGGGTTTTCAAGAGGTTTCTAAGGGTTCGATAAGGCATGAGATAAGTTTATAGGCTTTGTATATCGATGTCATAGAAGTCTTTATAGCGGCTCTACTGGAAGTTTCAGGCTTCTTTAGGGAGGTACAGGTACAACGGATTCAAGGGAACCCTGAATCCTAAGGTTTCGGGCTAAAGGGTGCTAAGGGCTTTTATGAGCAGCCAGGGTCTTTGGGAGGTTGGACTCTCAGAATTGGATAGCTGAGGGGTTGGGGTACATGGTTTGGAGAGTAGCATTTCTGGTTTCGGTGCAGTGTAAGCTATCTCAGACTTCATATGCCAGCAGGTCCTCATAAGCCAGTGTGCAGCAAACAAACACTGCTTGACTGCGCAGGTTCTGAGAGTCTCGACCAGGAAGTGTCTACAGGACGTATGCGGTAGCTGTATGCAACACTGAACTACTTGCTGTGTATCATGGATGGAGCTGTCCTACATGTGTATGAACCAATACGCGCTGGGACCAACGAATCAGTTGACAAAAATCGGGCCGCCACGTCTCTTGCTACATCTGGGTTCTTGATTATGTCATGACAGCCGTTGTGTATGGGTGCTTCGTTATGCGTCATTAGCACGTCCGAACCCAAGCATGACCTCCAGGCCATGGACTCTTCGAACCGCAACAGTAACAATAACAATCACAGAATTAGATCAACAAGAACAACAATGCAAATAACACTAACAACCATGAAAGTAATAACAACCATAAAACTAATAACAAGTAGAAATAACTACTGCTAATATCAATGATAGTAATACTAATAATGAAGTCGTCAATAATAATGATGATGAGATCAAAACAGCACTAGCTACAGTGATTCGATGACAAGATTAAGCTCCGTTCGACAAAGGCGTGCCAAGATGCATCAGTTCCACTGCGATGACGTTCTCGTACCTGCAAGATATGAATCTGTTCATGGAGGTTGGGTACGGACTTACATGCCAGGAACAAAAAGATGGGAAGACGAGTTGACTGGGAGCTTGTGAAATCGTTCTATCCTCGATTCCTCAACAAACCATCTTGCCTGAGTAAGCCGGGGACTCCCACGTATGCTATGTAACATTGCAAGAGCAGGACAGTTTGCGGAGTTGGTGCAGTCAGTGGTCATTCAATGATGTTTCTATTGTGGCTGTGCAATCTACTGTAGCAGCGGAGGACGTGCTCGAAACCGCACCAGTTTTGGTCGCCGCAGCACCATCAGCAAAGAAAATGCCACCATCACCATCGCCATGATCATGATCGTTGCAACCGTTAACATCTTCATCAACATCAACAGTTTCTAGCCAAGCGATGGCCTAAGACTCTGTAATAATCCCAAAGTTCGTGCACCCTATGTCTTGAGGCCCTTGATGCCCAAGGAGCGCTCAATCTGCCAACCTCGCTTCAAGCCTTCCCGGAACTCGAAACTTTATACCTTCCCTCTTCAGCGAAGTAGCTTGTCCCACACGCCACAGAGATGTCGCACAAGCTTCATGTAGGGCTCAAAATACAAAGCCCTGTCGGCACTGTTCTCCGGAGAGGCATAGATCCTGGGCAGTTGGACCGTGCTCATACTCAGGTTTGTCGTTATAGCTCCGAGTACAGGGGTGGTGATATTGATGACTGGAACGGTCGTGGCCGTAATGCCTGTACTGGACTGTAACGGCTGAAGAAGACGCTCGTGATGGTGCTGATGCCGAATATCCTTCCGTAAACCCATGCCGTTCCTCGGCATGGTGTTCTGCAGCTGCGCAGTGGTTACGAGCGCGCTCCAGGTGCTGTCGGAGTTGTTTTGGCGCATGCTCGCCTCGGTTTACGACGTCTCGTCACCGTCTACTCACTGTGTGGTCGCTAACGAGCTCACCCATGCACGCACCATCTAACTGTATAAACTCTAACCGTAAGCAGCCCATCTGACACCAGCTTATCTTTCGATCTGCCCATCTCACTCTGCAATGCTTGTGGGCTTCTGGGTGCTGCAAAAGCCGTAAGTCTGTAAGCCTTGTAACATGGAAGCATTCCCTGCTTCCGAATTACATGACTAATTCTCCTACTAGTGCCGAAAGTGCTGTGCACGACAAGCGTCTGTGCTCTCCATTGCTCCTTATGCTGCCGATATGGGCCGGGCCAAGCCAAGCCAAGCCAGACCGACCCCAGCAAGCACACAGATAACTGGTTGCTAGACCCTGAAAATGCGAAGCCTTTGCACAAGTGCACACCATCCAAAGCTTAACTCCAAGTAGCATTGCCGGCATTCATGAAATCCGGATTCGCACCCTTGTCTTCGACGGAAAACGGGAGCCACGGATCCTTTTCTGAGGATTTGGGCTCAGTAAAGGGATGCGATTTCCGGTGCACTTTGGGACGAGTGTTGAAGGTTTAGGGCGGGCGTCTGATCGTTTGCCAGTTTACCGGCTTTGGACTGCTAGAAGCACAAGCCGCATGCAGTATAAGTTCACCAAACAGCTCGGGCACGACCAGTTCGGAGACTGACCAGACAGCTTAGCCTGGAACTCATCGACTGAAGCTTTGAGGCTTTGTGGCTGTGCCGCAACAGCTGGAGGTGAGGCTCCGAGTCGCCGTCGTAGGTGGTGATGTCCAGAGTCAGGCACTTGGCAATGCAGTTCGGGAGGCAAGCAAAAGGCCGAAGAGGATGAGACGGCGTGGCGATGTAGGACGTCCGACAGCTCTCTGGGCAGCAGGACCTGACCGGATAGACCGTAAAGCGTGTAAGGTTTAGGGCAGCTTGGATACGGAGACCGGGTGCGTGATCATCTGCACCAAGTGGCCAGCAGCTACCAGAGAAGCAGCAACAGCAGCAACATTGCTCCAGGCAGCAGCCGGCACGTTCTTGGAAGCCAGCCGTCACCCACCAAGGCAGACCCTCCTTTCGAAGAAGTAGCTCCAGATCAGGGATCTTCAAGAGCAAACCCCCCGCCCATCTCATTGACTTGTCTGACTTAGGGTGGTCATTTCTCATGCAGTACATGGTGCATGTCTTGATTCTGGATTTGTGGGTCTGGGCGCAGCGTGCCGATGTTGCTTATGATGACCAGAGTAAGGCCTTTAAAGGAGCCGAGGTTCACCACCATTCGTGGTGCAGCCAGCATCCTGGTGCAGGTCCAAGAAGACGTAGACACCTTGGTCGCTCCGAAGGAACAACAGCGGAAGTACAGCTGCTGGCTACACAGACCTATATGTTAGCCAGCAATGACTTGAAACGACCAGAGAGCCGATGGACCAAGCACACCTAGGCCTGCGGTGAGCACCACAGAGCCGGGTCACAAAGTTCTGATGAGGGGGGAGTCGGAAAGGGTTAACCGGCCCTAAACCCTAAAGCAAAACCCTATGAAAAGATGGCAGTAAAGCACCTGACCTGCGCTGGCGAAGGCTTTGATCGTCGCATCGAGCTTTGCAGCATATGCAGGGTCCTTGGGCAAAAAAGCGACAAACGTCGAGCAGGAGGCATCAAACCCTGATCTCCGACTTTTAAAATCCAGCTCAGAGCTAAGCCGCGATCTCCTCGCCATTCGAGGGATAGGCCGCGGCCATCATAACGCCCAGCCGGACACAGGGCACTACCTTGTGGATCGTCTAGCTTCTGGCGCAGAGATCTATGAAAAAACTTCCACATGCTTGAGTTCTGGTGTCCGGATTAAGGCGGCTAGGCTTTCAGACTCAAGCTTCCGATGCAAGCCACCGAGGCAAACTGTAGGCTTAGAAAATAAGATGGGTAGTACTTAGGGTCCCTTTTTAGGTCCCCAATATAGTACGGCACCCTTATAAAAAGGACCCTAAAAGGGACCCTAATTTAGAAAACTACCCAGATGGTAAATCCAAGGCCCTAGTTTATTGATTGCCCACCCTCAAGTCTTATGCGAAATCAGTCGAAGGCTGCAGGGCGAGGGGAGCCGTCCGCGGCTGGCGGCGGCGTGTAGGCCATCCTCTATCCGCAAGCTTTTTCGAGTCTAGGGGCTGAGGGAAATTAAAACAAGCGCAGAAAAGGGTTTTGATGCAAAGTATCTGGTACAATAGAAGGCTCCGGCCCCTCCATTGGCATTTCGGGGTTGCTGCTTCTGGTCCTCCAGTTGTTGCCTACTTGTCTCTGGTCGTCCGGCTTGGGCTTAAGCGGCTTTAGGAGAAACCGACCAGCTGATTGCTTTTGACACCCATTCTGGATCAGGTTTCCGGTTTTAATTCCAGTTTTGCCACTGTTCGGTTCTCCTGTTCCTCCTCTGCTTGTCGGCATCTCGATATTATGCAAACTTGGCACAAGGAATAACTCGAGATTGGAGATAGAAATGAGGATACTGAGCGGAATAAGAAGTAGCCCCTGCAATCTTTGTCTTGCAGCAACAGACAAACAAGTTGATAACCGAAAAAGACGAGCCACTGATGCTTGGCAATAGTGACAACAGAACCAGTGCAGCGTGAAGATGCGCACAGCGTTTGTCTGAATGCCAAGGTCTCTTGTCTCTTTTGGCATCATGGCGGGCCCATGGGCACGAAGAGCGGCTTAAATAGTCAAGCTTTCTGCGTGCTCACATACGCAGTAGGTTTTAGTGCTAGTGCTGGCATTGAACTAGGCATGTGCCAAGGATCTGTCTGGCCCCTTCCGCCATGGACTTTGCGTTTGCTTCCACTACCTGCAACGGCAGCAGGGCTATTTTTTTGCCTCCTACTTAACAAGGAGGGTAATATATATATATATATATGTATATATATATATATGTATATATGTGTATCTATATATATGTATATATATATACATATATATATATACATATATATATATACATATATATATATATACAGCAGGCTATTAAGATTCAGGGCTTAGGTCTGCTTCTCTGCGGGCCTTGCGCGTTCTGTGCCTGCTAGCTTTGGCACCAACTCGAAAGACTGATTCAGCATTCGTGTTGCTACAAAAAAATATACTTTCAGGGTGGTTCCGTAAATCTCATTGCGATGTGTTTTCAGGGGCGACTGCTGAATGCACATGGAGCTTCGGAAGACCTGTACTGCTGCTTTGATACCATTGGTAGAGCAGCGGGGTCGAGGGTTTTTGTGAGGAGTTAGCTTTGGCATAGACCCCTGCAGCAATGGTCCTCGAACTAGAAGAAGTCTTAAACGCCAACCGTTCTGCGGTGAAGGTGAAACCCAAATCCGTCGATTCCTTGAAGGTGTTTGGGAGATAGTGGCACCGAAAGGTCAGGTGGCTACAAAGGTTGCGATTTGTGTTCCCATGATGGAGCCCAGGTAGTTCAGCTGCGGTGTGGTCTTGACCCCGATCCCATCCAAAAAACTGCCCTTCATCAAGAGATACTTTGCTGTTGTTGTTGTTGTTGCTGAGTTTCATGCCATGCTCTACTGCGAATTTTCTGCGGAAGCCAGGAAGTCTTGAGGCTGCAGTACGGTCCGGGTGAGGAGTAATCCCTGCCCTCTAATATTACACGGAGGGAGGGCCAACAGAAACTCGGAAAGTATTTCATTGTCAGGGTGCATTTTTATCTCTACTGCCACTTTTCAGGGGTCGTGCTATTCCTCCTGCTCTGGCTCTTGCTCCCGCGCTGGCTTTTGCTCCTGCTTCTGCTGCGTCTCTTGCGCCTGCTTCTGCTGCTTTTGCTATTGCTCATGCTTTTGCTCCTGCTCTTGCTCTTACTCCCGCTCTTGCTTTGTTTTGCTCTTGCTTCTGCTCTTGCTGATGCTCCGACTTTTTTGCTCTAACTCCTGATCTTGCTTTTGCTCTTTCTGTGCTCTAAAGGGTACTTGGATCCTTGAAACCCTTGCGCGGTGCACTCTTCTGTTCTGGCAGAATTACCGCAAGGACGATGACCTGCAGCGGCGGGTACCAGGGCTGAGTCTTGAAGACATAGTTTCCGCCGAGCCTGGTCGGATCTCGGCTCGCAAGTCGGTTGAAAGGTTCACCTCAACCCCTTTCCTCAGTTCGCGCCTCCGGCAACCCGAGGAAAACAACCTCTACACCCGGTTAATGCCTGCAGGAACCAATCGCCAGACTCCGCAGAACTTCGAACTTGACACTCTGCCATCCCCGAAGTTACAGCACACACCTCCCTTGTGGGTGTCTTTTTTGCGTTCTCTCTCTCTCTCTCTCTGTGCTCCTGTCGATCCCCGATTCCCGTCGCATCTTACGGCCGAAACCCTAACGATCACCCCATCCTCGCACCGAGACTTCCGAGCCCAGTGACAAGACAATCTCCGTCCCGTCCAGTTTGAATACCTCCAGTCAGGACTGGGCTCCATAGTATATAGTAATATAGTATGACGTCTACAACAAAACGATATCGGACATCAGATATTGCGTACAATATGTAAGATATACGATATACTATTCTATTGTGCTGCCTTTTGGTTCTTCAACTTCAACTTGCGATCACAGCCATCTTGCACACCGATCTCCCTGAACTACTTGACCCTTGTCGCAAACCCCAGGCAGACACCTCGCCCTCAATGACGACGCGGCCCTTCCGCAGCGGTGTGTCTTCAGCCATGGCAAGACAACCGAAGTCAACAGATCCTACTTCCCAGAATCGCGGTGACGCGCAACCCTAAACCCTAAACCCTAAACCCTAACAGAAGTACACCTCGAAGCCTCGGCTCGATGCCAAAAAAAGCCCTGCAGGCACAAGGCATGAATCCATTCAAAGTGATCTTAGGGCTTCGGGCTTAGGGTTTAAGGGTGCCGTAGTTCCTCAGATTAGGGTTTTGTTTAGGGTCCTCTTTATAAGGGTGCCGTACTGTTGGGGGGGGAGGGTGGGAGGGGGGGGCGGAAAAAGGGACCTTAATCCAGACAACTACCCACATGCAGGATGGCAGCTTTTTTCTGTCAAACATCACACTGGAAGCTTTTGACACCAGCTCGCTGCATCGCAGAAACCAGGGATTGATTGATGCTTCAGCTCAGGATGTTCATTTAAGACTTGTTGCCGATATAAGCATATATATATAGTACAAGCATAATATAGATATAAATATCTAGCATAACATAAGATCATGCAGCATAAGACAAGATACAGTAAGACGATGTCACGAAATATGAGATGACATGATAGTAGGTGGTTACCAGGGACATTGAGGAGCGTGCCAGCCAAGGGCCAGGGAGCAGACAGGGGTTAAGGGTTTAGGTTTCTTTTTTGAGGACCGAAAACGTTTAGGGTTTAGGGTCTAGGGCTTTCCCTCCCACTTAGCAAGGGTCTAGGGTTTAGGGTAGGGGGTTTAGGGCGGCCTCCCTGCTTAAATCATAACTCCTCAGCTTCCCGAATTCGGAATGCACTAAAACGTGTTCGAGACCCACTTTTGTCAAGGTGCTCGAACACATCCGTCAACCCAAAAAACAACCAGCAGCAGCGGCGCACGCGCCGAGGCAGAGGAGCACAAAGCCCGGATGCAACTTGTACAGCAGCCAGGGTTTCGACGACTACATACCGCTCCAAACACATCCCTTCTGAGGCAATGTACCTGCTCGTGCTAGCAATCAAGCATGCACATGTATATAGATATGTGTCATATGTGGTATACACATACATACGTGCATACATACATACATGCATGCATACATACATACATACTTACATACATACATACATACATGCACATGAGTGTGTATATATATATATATGGTACCCCCCCCCCATGGATCTACCGTTTTCGTGTGCTGGGTACCCCCCCCCCACCATACGAAAACAGTA